ATGATCACTGGCTGTCTCCCAGGTGGGGTTACTGGTGCGGAATGATCACTGGGCGTCTCCCAGGTGGGGCCGCTGGTGCGGAATGGTCACTGGGCGTCTCCCAGGTGGGGTTACTGGTGCAGAATGATCACTGTGTGTCTCCCAGGTGGGGTTACTGGTGCAGAATGATCACTGTGCGTCTCCCAGGTGGGGTTACTGGTGCAGAATGATCACTGTGCGTCTCCCAGGTGGGGCCGCTGGTGCAGAATGGTCACTCGGCGTCTCCCAGGTGGGGCCGCTGGTGCAGAATGATCACTGTGCATCTCCCAGCTGCGGCTATTTGTGCAGAACATATGTGAAGCACTTTGATATCCTTCAGAGTACAAGGTGCTGTTGATGCTTAATTAGTGGTTACTGGTGTTATGGCGTGCTATGTGACACTGCATTGCGCCGCACTGTCTCGCTGTGCTATACACAGCATATTTTATTCCTCACGAATGAGAGAAGAGGTGAACTCTTCTCTGCCTGGGCTGGCAGGTTCCTAGACTGATGAAGTTCCCCGGAGCTCAGACTTCTGGGCTGAATCCTTTCTCCCTGTGGCTCAGCTCCGAGCGATACGACTAAGGCCGCTCGCGATGGGGCGGGGCCTTCACCCCCCCTCCCCCTCCACGTCCCGCCCCCCTCCGTCCACCGATTGGTGGGATGGCGGTGATTGGCAGACGCAGTGGGCGTGGCGGGTCCCCGCGATGAGAGTACCAGTGTCTCTCCCGGCAGCCGCATCCCTGATCCAGCGAGCACAACATCACCGCCACGACAAGAGCGGACACAGCGCTGACTCCGGGCTACCGCCGCCGACGTCTGTTCTGAAGAGAGAGAGAGAGAGAGAGGAACACCCTGTTCTACATGGCAATAAAATAGAAGCTTGCCATTTTATTTTTTTTATTTTTTATTTTGGTGAACGCAACGCAGCCCCCACCACCCCCCCGCCGCCGCCCGTGAGATCTGCCTCAAAATGGCTGAGATGACCAATATCAGACCCCAGTACGGTAAGTACCTCGTCCTGTATATTTACCGGCTTGGGGTTTTTATGGGTCTTTTTTTTTTTTTTGAAACAACGAAGCTTTGTTGCACCTGCTGCGGCGGATTAAAATTCGGGCCGATCTGGGTCACGTAGACGCACCGGAGCGCTGGAAAACCTACAATGGGCGCTCGGCGCTCCCCGCTGGCCGCTGCAGACCCGCGGGGCTCACCGGCGGCCCGGGCGGCTCTGCAGGCGCCGCGCAGCCCCGAGCCGTGTCCGCTGCGCCCAGATGCGCGCTCCTGCCGCGCTCGTCGAGGTGAGCCGCTGGAACGCGCGTCACGGAGGGGCTGTGCGCCTTCAGGTGCGGATGCTATTGGGGCGCCCCAGGTTTGTGGGGGAGGGATGGAAAGGGGGGGGGG